CCCTGGGACACAGCAACCATCATAAAGACAGGCTTGGCACCAGGTGCCTGAATTTTGATTATGTGACCATAGGGATGCTGCAATAGTCATAACTGTGAAAAATGGTCATAAGTCACTTTTTTAGTGCTGTTGTAACTTTGAACTGTCACTAAACAAACTGTTGTAAGTCAAGGACAACTTGTTTCTGAAGTCTACTTGCAACATGTTCCTGTTTATCGTGAATTTTCCAGATGAAACTTCCTTTCCTATAAGTTCTGATGTTCTTTAGTATGTACTCAACCCAACCATACTCCTTGACCATCAAAAAGACTAGCCATCAAAATCTTCAAAAGCCATCTTTTCAGTGAAGCACAACTCCAGGGAGAGAGGGGGGGGGAACCATTTTAGAAGCAAATAAGTAGATAAAACCTAAGAAAGGAACACTGACCTAGTTTACCGGGTTTAAATAGTGCCAAGAAATGCCCTGACTACTAATGACCTTGTTCAAATGAACTTAATTCTAACTGAGAGGGTGTATCGCTTTTTGCAGAAGGCTTCTGTCCTACTTGGAGGCGATTGAGAAGCAAAAATTGCTGACTCATAGTATGTCAGCAGAACACACTCCAGCTCTCATAGTTTGCCATGAATTGCCCGTTCCTCCTCATCTTATGTATAGCAAACAGTTATAAAATGCTACATTACAGTGCTCTCTCCTTCAGGTCCTTCCCATAGAGGTTGTATTTTCCTGCAATGTAATTGAGAATGGCTCGTGTTTGCACCAGCTTCATCCCATCCATTTCCACCATGGGCACTTGCTGAAAAAGCAGACATCCATCTGGTAAATGAAAAAGGACAGATTAATGGAAGGGTTCTCTCCAACTATTAGCATGGCAGATGATGTAGAGATGCATTTTACAGTTCAGGAGTGAGGAACGATGTCCTTTTTATGACTTGTGGACTTCAACCTCCAGAATTCCTGAGCCAGCCATGCTGCCTCAGGAATTCTGGGAGTTGAAGTCCACAAGTCATAAAAGGGGGCACTGTTCCCCACCTCCATTGTAGGCCATGCTTAGAATTTCAATATTTTACCTATACTTCTGAGAAGATGTCACTTGCTTAATGTTTAGATCAAAAGTTTTATGAGACAGTTTTGCTGTATGTCACACGCAAAAACAAGGTAATATGCTCACCATTTTTTAACTTTTGTAGTGCTTCTTTTGAGTCAATGAATTGTTCTTCAAACTGGTAAACAGAAAAGACAAAAGATTTCCATGGCTTCCAAAATTATTGCAAGTGCCAGATTCATCTCCATGTCCACCATACCTGGCAGAGATTTGTAAGAAAAGACACTCCATATTCCAAGAGGAAATTGGATAGCTAGATTCACTGAGTTAAGTTGTGATAACCCAGCCAACTATGGTTAAATCAGACCATGACTAAGGGAAACATAGTTAACATGAGGTAGGAACCCAACAAATGAGCTACAAACACAATGATGATCAAGTAGTGAAAGTTAATCACTTAATACATTTTAGGAAAAAAATATGGATTTCCACAATGTCATCATCATGAAGTTTATGACTTATTTGTTCATTACAGATTTGTATTTGAGAATTAAAATGTAGCCACCTTGGCAGCAATAGATTATTATTAATTAACCATTATTAATTAAGAGGAGTTTGGAAGACTCACCTCAATCCCAGCTGCAGCCAACATCCACCTTATGGTTTCCATTCGCCCTCTTCCTTTGAAGTAGTGAAGCTTTGGTTTTCCAGCCATGATTCTACTAAACTGTTATCCTGTGTGGTGGAATGTGGTCTGGATTCCCAGGAGCGAGGGAATGCATTCCAAAGGAATAAGAGACAATGAAGTCTAGATAGTTTGACTTTGAGAAAGAGAGTTAAGACACCTCCTAGCAATTCTCAGAGTATACCTTTAATGATGCAAGTAGTTGCTTTAATTTGACAATATTTGTCTATAGGCAAGGAACAATAAAGGAACCGGTTTAGAAATAACTCTATTTGTCTTTATTGGTTTTAGGGGCCTGGCACCTGCTACATTAAGTATATAAATATACAATCTTATGAAGATACAAATACCCTCAGGTAGACCAGAATACATTTTACAATGCTCCTTTATACATTGCTTTTAGCAAAACACCAATTTTATAGCAACATCTTTTTTTTTTTTAAATCATGTTATCTTGAGCAGATGTATATACAATCTGCCTCTGTAGGAGGAAAAATACAGTCATTCCTTCCATCTCCCCCCCCCCCACACTCTTATTGGGATGATATTTTCACTGTTGTAAAACTTTGTCACCCGCAACAATTGAAGACCAATCCAGCATAGCTAACTTTAAAAGCATTCTCTTCCTAAAATATTCAAATTATGATTTATTCTTTTTTCCCCCATCTATTCCATTGGGAGTAACTGATTCTCTTTTGGACTAGTGACAAGTAAATATTAGCATTATCAACTATATGTTTACTCCAAAGGAAATTCTATTGAGCTCAATGTCCCCACCTCGTAGATAAGCAGGCATAGGATTGCAACATGTCTTTATTAGTGCAATTCTACTCAAAGGGTTAACGGAGTATTAGTTTGTTCATCTAAATGGAAAGGCATGTGAGTTTCAAAGACTCATGAACTCATGACAGTTTTTATTTCTCACAAATCCCTCCTTCTAACCCACATAATTCTGCTCTTTTCCCCAACACTAACTCTGGACTTTCAGAGAAGAATTTTGCAGTCATTTCCATCCTGACTTATTAGTCACCACTAAATCAATAAGCAAAAAGAAGACAAACTCTAAGGTTATAGAATTGCCCCTGCCACCACTTTCTCCTCGAGTTTCTACCTTTGAATACTGACCTGCTGAGAAGCCTCAGTAAACACAGGCTCTTCTTAATGCAAGCAATGTATTCCGTGCACCTTCAATATATAAAGCTCCCAAGCTCCACCTTCTGACGGAAGAGAGATAAGGAGCAGCCCAGATGGAGGAGGAACTTCGTTGGTGGCCAAGAGAAGAATTTCAGTGCCTTTTCCCCAGCGGAACAGCTGACTTTCAAGTCGATCCATATTGGGAAAAAGTGGCCCTCACACAGAGCATGATGCAGCTTGGTTATGCAACTGTCTGGGCAGGTGTATTTAAGGCACATAGTGTTTTGTTTTTTTGGTACTACCTCCTCTAAACCTCCTTCAATCAATAGGCAGGTAAATGGAGAAAAGCCCTCTATATAAAGGATCCTTTACCTGGCGAAGGATCAGTTTGGTGAAGAGTTTGCTTAAAATGTTTGCCTAGTGTAGGACCTTTGTTGCCATCGTTCAGCTGCTAGGTCATGTCCAGTTCTTCGTAACCCCATGGACCTTAGCATGCCAGGCCCCCCTGTCCTCCACTATCTCCAGAGTTTGCCCACGTTCATGTTCATTGCATCAATGACATTGCATCAATGACACCATCTAACCATCTCCATCCTCTTCTCCTTTTGCTTTCAATCTTTCCCAACATCAGGATCATTTCCAAGGAGTCCTCTCTTCTCATTATGTGGCCAAAGTATTAAGAAAAATAACCAAGTAAAAATTTTTTTAAAAAAAGTAACCCAGTGTGTTGGGGTTTTGCTCAACCTCAAATGCCTGCTTGTTTCTCTAGCCACAAGAACACATTTCACAGAGCAGTCTCCTCACTTGACCAAAATACCATGGGATGGGTTCTATGCTGGTTGTTCTTTGGCAAGGATGGGCAGGCTGTCAAAATCCTGAAGATGGCCCCTTCCTTTTTACTTTGATTTTCAGTTTATCAATAAGCTCCTCAGGAGGAACAATGTCAAGTATTAGAGGGAATCAACAAAAAAGGCATCATACAAAATGCTTATCAATGGAAAATTGTGATAAAATGTTGTCTGGATTCCCAGGAGGGAGGGAGTGCATTCCAGAGGTCCAAGAGACGGGCACAGTTTAGATGGTTTATGTGGGAGAAAGAGAGTGAAGATGGCTCCTTCGTAATAGTTCCCAGAGTATTTCTTTTATGGTGCAAGTAAATCAGTTTAGTTTGTTAAGATAGCTATCTATAGTTGAGCAACAATAAAAGACACTGCTTAGAAGAGTCTCAACATTTTTTTCTTGGGTTTTGGAGATAGATATTTATCTAGCTACCCAACTCTGAATAGAATATTGGAAGGCCTCCGCACAAATTTTTCCATTCAAATACCTGGCTAGGAGGTACCCAGGAATGCCTACTAATGATATCAATCTGCCATATGCACCCAAGAGTCCCCCCCCCGAAGTTTTGAAATAATTAGTTAGAAACAGATTTGAATCATATATGTTAAACACAATTAAATTATTTTTCAATGGAATTTGGTTTGGGAAACACTCATTTTTAAGTTAGTAATGTTAACCAATGCCTCTTAGACTTATCAGATTTAAGATCAAGACTAATTTGCTCTGAGCTCTGAGCAGACCTGATCTTTGTTTTAAGAGTCAAATTGGGATAAATCCTTTTCAAAGCAGTGATGGTTAACACATGGCCCTTCACAGATGAAGCACAGCTCCCATTCAATTCTAATTGCTATTTTTGTCAACTGGGCTGATGAGTTTTGGAATCAAATAACTTTATACATGCTCACACCCACACTTATCTAAAGGAAGCAGATTCTAGTTGAAGGTCCAGAAAAACTTTCTAAAAATAAGAGCTGTTCAACACCAAAATCACTTCCCCTTTGCTAGGTATGTTCATGCAGAGATCACACAGCCATTTATCAATAAAGCTTGAACTCCAGAATCCACTGGAAGTGGGTGGTGGATAACTTTAAGCAAACAATTTGAGTTCTAGTATTGAGCACAATAGCTCCTTCCAATCCTATGATTCTATGTCTGTAAGGAAGATACATGAATGAATGAATGAATGAATGAATGAATGAATGAATGAATGAATGAATGTCATTTTTTGGGAGAAAGAAAAAACTTCTTTATGTCAAATTGTTTGAATGCAAAAATTTAATGCACTTTAAGAATTTGCACCAAAGAGTAAGCCATTTATTGTTTTTGGTCCCAGCAGACAATCTTTTGCTTTTAGGAAACAAAAAGAGGATTCTCAATTATTCCCCAGATGAGGGGTAGGTAAGCTCCATGCATTTAGCACATCTGGCAGCACTGTGCCATGATAAACAACAATGGGGAGTCCTCTGTGGGAAAACACCATTGCATATAAACCAGGGTGGGAGATGTATCAACATCTGAGGTTAAGTAATAAAAGGAGTCCTTTAGGACAGCTTGTAAAGGTTGGAGTGGGTTCCTTGTTGTCTGATGAAAATCTTCTTGGCTTGCACTGGGTCTGATTATCTGATGTTCTGGCAAGCAGACATGATGTTACGAGAAATTCAGCTGAAGAACCTTCAGCACAACAGCTACATAAGCATCATTGGCGATTGGTTTTCTTTGGCTTCCAGGTTCTAGGAATTTCTTAATGGTGGGAATGGAGCTTATCCTTGCTTTGAAAGCCTAAAAAAATAAACAAACAATATTTACCCTGTTGAACGTATAAACCACACATTCTCTGTAAATAAAATAATTTCCAAAAACATGTACAAATATAAATAGGTCAAAGATATACCTCTATTTACACCAATGAAATGCAGGAAGAAACTGCAAGTAAGGTCCCATCTCTTTGAACTAAGTCTCCCCCACCTATCATGTACACTGCATCTTTTGGATTCAGCTTTAGTCTACTTGACTCATACAGTCTGTAATCCAGGCGAACAGACACCCATTAGAAAGCCTGACACATTTTGGTCATCATTCCCAACCCGTTCACATTGATATAAAAAAGCTCAGAGGGGCGGTGAATAAAAAGTCAAGGGCTGCCAAGAACACTATCTGAAATCTGCTCCTGAGATAAGACAGGACCTGTGATTATGGTTCCAACTTCCCATGGTTATTTGAAAGGAATCCATGGTAAATGTCATTCAAAGGTGCCAATCCAGGAACCTAAGTAGAGAAATGGTACCACTGTGCTCCCTCAAGAGATTGTCTCACACCATGCTCCAGCCTGAAATTGAATATCAGTTGAATCTGAAAGCATTTGGAGCTGCTTGGTCACTATCCATTTCACCACCTTGGCTAGAAATGGCACATTTGAAATTGCCCTAGAGTTAATAAAAAGGGAGGGATCTGGCAATAATTTATTCTATGGAAGTAGAATTGCCTCCATCAAAGATGGCACCACCCTTTGGCTGAGAAAGGCATTAAAGAAGCATAATTTACCATTTTCAAAAAAAAAAATCTATTCCAGCCAGTATTAGTCACGAGGGAGCTGTATCTAAAAGACAAGTGATGATCCAAGCCCACTCAAGCACCTTGTTCCCATCTTCAAGGTGCACAGAAGAAAGCCAAGGGAGATGAGATACATTAAGCCCTTTCCTGCTATGTTTCTAAACAACCCTGTGAATCCACTGGTGGAATGAACAATTTTTTTAAAAAAAATCATAAATCCTTCAGTCAGACACAGATATTTCAAGTAGGCCTTCCAGAGTCTTCTGGCACAAGTTCTTGAACCACCCAGAAAATTCCCTTCTATGCAAAAAATGGAGGTAAGAAAAAGCCCCATCGCTGGACTTCAGTTCCTATGCTCTCCCACTTGTGACTTAAGTGGCAGCATAAGTCAGAACCAACATGGTCATTTATATTAGGCGAGTAAAAGCTGGCATGATAATCACTACTAGATTACCTGTAGTTGAGGGAATGGCGCAAGAATATCAGCTTTTCTCTCTTCCAACATTAAAATTGCTTCAAGCAATTGTATATCTGCGAAGCTGAGGCGATTACCAACTAGGAACTCTTGCTTATGATGTTCCAGAGCCTATAAAATATAAAAACCTTAAAGCTGAACCAAAAGGTACATTAACAGAACTGTGTCAAAAGTTTTTAATCATTAATTTACTCTCTTCAGAAGAAATATAACTTATAATCTATTAGAAGCATCCTATGGTTGTTCAATAGGGACCAAAGAAAATAGTTTCTCTGTACAATAAAACATGCATATACACATATCAAATGCTAAAAATGGAAGAATAATTGGTAGTAAAGAAGAAGAAAGAAGACTCCTTGAATATATTGTCACACTTATTTAAATTCTGGAGCAGAAATCAAAATCAGCTAGGAAAATAATAAAACCATTTATTATTATTATTTCTTCATCCCCTATAAGGTTACAAACAGGTACTTCTTCATCACAAATCTCATCTGTTATCTATAAGCAAATCCACAACATGTCAACTTTTCAATCAGCAAAAAGTCTCTAATAACTTTAAGGTGGTTAATAGGCAATTTCCAAAAGTGATTAAAAAGTGAGGCTTGCAACGTTAATGTCCTTCAAAAGGCCCCACCACTTGTCTAAATGAAGGGATAGCTGCTAGAAGAAATGTCATGGGCGGGCCTACCTTTTCATAGACTGGGAGGTACCTGGTCACAGCCTTTTCGATAAAGGCAGCCAGTTGCTTCTCTTTTTGCTCAGGTGAGGAAAACGGGTAGCACAAAACAAGGCCCATCAAGTCCATGGTGCCTTCCGCGTACATGTCAATTCTTTGAAGATAGACAGGAGAAATGTTACATCACACTTCAACAAGCATTAAATTTAACTTAGCTTACTGTCATTTACATACTTGTGCCAGACACTGGGACACTCAAATACCTAATGGGAAGATTTGTGTCACGTCACCGGGCATGTTGTCGTTTTGATGTCATCTTGGCTTGCTGCAGAAGACTTGTTTTGGTTATAGCAGCTAATCCCCAGCTTCAATAGTCACATGTGAAATGCCTATTCTCCTGAAAAGAGTCATCGTCTGGGGCCATGCTCTATTTGATGGCTTTCTTAAATATGCCATAGCAATTTTTCTCCTCTGAGACTGGAAAAACAGAGACACTGTCCTCTAACCAAAACTAATTCAGGGCAAGATGGCAGGCTGTGCACTGAGTGAAAACTTAGTCTTCGTGAGCATGGACTCAAATGTATATTAAAAACATACTTCTTCTTTTGCCCTCGCTTACATATTTCGCTGATGAAGAGCTTAGAGATGAAGGACAACTCCACTGCAACAGGGACTGTAGAGGAAATTTCTGAAGACAATTGCCCAAGAAAAACAATTGTACCAAGAACAAGGTATATCAAATAGAATGCCTATTAATAGATTTAAGACCTTCAGAATGATATGATTGGAAACACTGGGAGAATGAGTGCTCTTAATTTTTTAAGAACTTAAAATAAACAGCAAAAGGCAAGGTAAGGTCTTGGCTACAGAAAGTTCTGAGGATTCGAAAACTTTAAATATAAAGATTTTGAAATTAATTTTCAAAAAATGAAGTGCATGTTTGTAGAAAAGGAAATTTATTTTTGAGCTTGGAGTTAAAAGATAGGCAATTTATAACAATGTTTGGGAATAAATAACAGAATAACAGAGTTTGAGGAGACCTTGGAGGTCTTCTAGTCCAACCTTCTGCTCAGGCAAGAAAGCCTATACCATTCCATACAAATCTCATCTTAAAAACCTCCAATGATGGAGCATTCCACTGATTAATTGTTCTAACTGTCAGGAAATTTCTCCTTAGTTCTAGGTTGCTTCTCTCTTTGGTTACTTTCCATCCATTGCTTCTTGTCCTGCCTTCAGGTGCTTTGGAGAAAAGCTTGACTCCCTCTTCTTTGGGGCAGCCCCTGAGATATTGGAACACTGCTATCATGTCCCCCCTCGTCCTTCTCTTTGTTAAACTAGACATACCCAATTCCAGCAACCGTTCCTTATATGTTTTAGCCTCCGGTCCCTTAATCATCTTTGTTACTTTTCTCTGTACTCTTCATAGAATCTCAACATTTTTATATCAATATTTACATTGATATATCTTTGAAGACAAAGATGTCTTTGAAGAACTGCAAAGAGATCTCAACCAAGAAATTGAACCTATATTGTGTTTTCTAGCGAACACTCTGTTACTAAATGAAGATTTCACACAACAAGAAATTGAATAAAATTTACTTAAAGAGAATATGAACACTCTGAATAAAAATCTATCAACAGATGAGGTTCTAAAATCAAGAAGGAAATAAAAGTGAGAATCTCAGAGAATAATTGGAATAATTTCTCTTTATTGGATTTACAAAAGAACGTTTAAGGAACTAAAGAAATTTATAATAAGGAACAACAACCACCAGAATAGATTGCAGAAAGAAAAAATGAAGAAGAAGAAAAAAGAAAAAAACCCACTATAAACTTGGCTTATTCCATTAGGGATAAAATAAATTACATTGTTACTCTGAGTGATTCTAGATTATTGATATTTCATTGGATTTGCCTAGAATGGGTAGGATGGAAAAGCTTCCTCCTAATAGTTATTTTATGTAATTATAATTTTTAATACTTAAACAGTTCTAAATTTTACTGTTTATCTTTAGCTTAAATTGAGATTATTTTTTTAAAAGGAAAATTATTTATTTTTGCTATGTAGTAAGGAACTGTGATTGCACAGTGGTTAGAATGCAGTATTGCAGGCTAACTCTGCATTCCCACAGCCAGGAGTTCGATCCTGACAAGCTCAAGGTTGACTCAGCCTTACATCTTTCCGAGGTCAGTAAAATGAGGACCCAGATTGTTCGGGACAATATGCTGACTCTGTAAACTGCTTAGAGAGGGCTGTAAAGCACTATGAAGCGGTATATATGTCTAAGTGCTATTGCTATTTCGTTTTTGTCTGTATTGGGATGCTGGAATTGTGAACTGTGGTTGTGCTTAGAGAATAGAGGTAGGAAATGTGTATCTGAAAATAAGATATTGTGTATTGGTTTGTCTTTTGTAAAGGGGGAAATGGCCCCTTTTTGTCATGTTAAACCTGGGGTTTAACATTTTGTTTTTATTAGGCTGTTGGGACCTTCTAGTGACCTTTAAATGGGATTTTGTTACAGCTGAAAGGTGAAAGTGGAATGCTGAGTTTTATATATGTCAATTAATGGTAAAATCTTAGAGCTCCGTATGGTTGATAAGTGAGCCAAAAAAGATGTTACTTATTCGATTTGCCTATTGTTAACAAAAGGGTTATGGGATGAAGAGTTTTATATTTGTTACCCAAGAAGAGGTGAAGAGATTACGGAGTTGTTTTTAACTCATCACAAAGGGGTTCAGGAGTCATTTTCTAAGGGCAGCAGGACTTTCTATTCTCTTTAAACATTTTTTATTATTTTTTCCTTTCTCTTAGTCTCTAATATCTTTTATTGTTTTATTCAAATCTCCAGTAAAATTATTTGAAAAAATAATAAAATTACAGGATACATATCACATATTCTATGCTATGGCACAATGTTCCCCAACCAGGATTTTCCAGAATCCCAAAAGAATAATCTGCTCCTAGATTTTCCAAGCCAGCATAACCGTTGCTTCTGAAATTCTATGAACAAAATAATAAACTGTGAAGACTGAATTTTGTCTCCTTTCGCAATTATTTCATTTGTTAGTAGAAAAGCTGCAAAATCAGACCATTCCAATTCCACTTTGACTCGGCTGCTTGTGTGATGGTGTCCAAAGCTGGTATTGTTACCTCTAGTCTCATTTCGACACACACACACACACAAACACATACAAAAAAAAAAACCTGAGTCATGGATTGTCAGCAAGACAAGGGCAGGATCAGACAGGCAAAGCCAATATTGATATTGGCAATCAGACCAAAATGAGGACATTCAGAACAAGTCTTGAATGCGATTGTGGAGTTTTCCTTATAGCAAAGAAGGAGAAAAATCTGTATTATATTCTGCAAGGAAAGACAGAAGAGCTGTACTGCAGATAAAATTAAAGATTCTCTAAAATTGATTTTGATCTTTCTTTTGTTAATCAGGTCACTGGATAGCAGTCCAGAATAGTAAATTGCTCTTTCACCATCGAAAGTAATTGATTTATTCTCTTTTGAAAAAGCTGGGCTCCTCTGTGAGAGGTCAATGGCAAAGGGTTTTTTTAAAGTTAGCGGCTCCAATGGATAGAATCAGACGGCCAAATTATGCAAGAAGTCAAAGGTGACATACACATAATGTTATAACTTGGCATTTAACCTACTAGTTTTTCAAAATGCACCTTTTTATGGGGAGGGAGGGATGGGGAGGTGTCCATGAAGTGTGAGGCGGGATTTAACAGTTGTCTTGGATTCATTGGCTGGTACGTCAGTCATAGCCCTACCTGGATCATAAAAAAAATTGCAATGGCAGCTCATCATTTTCCAACTAGACTACCGCAATTCATTGCATGTGGGGGATGCTCTGAAAAATCACATATCAGCTATACTTTGTACTTTGTACAAAATGCCTTAGTCTGATTATTGGCCAACATTATTCATCAAGAGCAGATTACACCCGTGATTTGGTAACTCCACTGCTGCCATTAGATTTCCACATGAAATTCAAAATCCTGGTTTGGCTCTTGATCCCCTCCATGATTCATACGGATCTCTCTGAATTGGCCTATCTGGCACATTCTTCCCAGGAGAAACTTCTGCTAGTACCAGGCAGTGCTCTTTTTCAGCTGCTGCTCTGGCTATCTTTGTCTTGCGCTTTGGCTGCATGATTTATTTAGTTATTATTATTATGATACTATATTATTTGTCATTCGGATTTAAATGGTGTTTACTGTGGACATTTAATTGGCTATATGATACATTGAGTCTTTTTTTTAAAAAATTGCTAGTAGAATAAATAACAAATAATAAATAGTAAATTTATATTGTAGGAATAAATAAAATGATACATAACAAAAGGTATATAATTAATTTTACATAAATAAAAAGATTCTAATGGAATGCCCTAATTCTGGAAAGTGTGGGAACTACTCAAATTATTTTCCTGGAAACAACTGCCATTTTTAGAAAGCCTAATAGCTTCCAATGTGCAAAGATGAGGGGACAGAGTGGGGATTGGACAGTTATTACAAAGATGTTATAACCTTTCAATGCTCTCTTTCAACAAGTCCAATAATGCTGCTCCATTTAACTTCTCACAACTAGATGCAAAAATCAGGAGCATGTGCCAGTAGAACGTTAATGGGTGACATGAGACTGGCCAAACATTTACAAGAGGCTCCAGGACTATTTCACAACAGAAACCAATGATCTAAAAGTTTTTACTTCTTGGCCTGCGAGAATTGTTTCTCATTCATAGCCAATGCACTGTGGGTGAGCATGTGGGAATGCAGTAATATTAGGGCAGAGACTTTGGATCAAGTCTAAGATGATGAATCATAATACTGTACTGTGCTCGTTCTTTCAGATCCTCCCCAAGGAGATTATATTTCCCCGCAATGTAATTGAGAATAGCCTTGGTCTGGACCAACTTTAGCCCATCCATCTCCACCAGGGGGACTTAATCAAACAGCAAGTATCCACCTGTAGGGAAGGGGAAAAGAGAAAAGAAAGAAAAACACAGCATCACTGAGCAGGTCTAGGTTGCAGTAGAGTAGAGGCAGTATGCTAGATGGATGCTAGCATATGACCTACCTTCCTGACTAAATTTAATCAACTGGCAAATATAATAGCTCTTTATGCAAAATGAAACAAAAACTGCATTCCAAATGTTGCTGCAGATTTAAAAGTAAATTCCGCCAAGCTCAAAAAAAGAGAATAGTACCTATTATTAGGAATATTTACTCTAGCTCTTTCTGCATGCAGCAGCCTGTTACCGGTCCACATAACGGGGGTTGGGGACCCCTGTTTTATACAACAATGCACACATAACCCCCCACACAGATTTCTATTTCTATTATAAAATTGCATAAAGCATGAGATTTGGTTGCTAAGAAGTCAGCCATGTGCCAACAAACACCTTGCACAGATCATCTGCTCACCTATTTCTCAAATTTCACTCATATTCAAATTTCGACAGGTAAAACATGTTCAGTCTAATTTACCAGTAAAGTGCCGCTCCCACATTCTCCACTTTATCCTTGTTTATTGTAAAGAAGCAGTGAACTGATGCGTGCTTGCCCTTTATCTCTGATTCACATTTCCTTCTGAACAACTGGATGGGAGGAAGGGAAGCTTTACAATTGGTTAAGAAAGCTGCATGATGCAGGACCCACAAACCATTATCTGGGGTGGGGAGTCCTCAGAGGACACCAAAAATTCCACATTTCACCCCTGAGCTACAAATATTCTCTTCCATTGCATTATCTGATGTTTGGACATGATGAGACATGTCCAGCGTCCTTGGTTTTAGCAGCTGATTGAAATGAAACCTCCACCTGCTCCAGATACACAGCAAATTGCACTCTTGGCAGAGATTTCTCCACTGCACGTCCTGACTAGCGACTACCTTGGAAAATCACCACTTTTTCTGCCAATCCTTTGCTGCCAGTTCCCAAGATCTGCTTCTCTGGGGCAACTTCACCATTCTGCTTCTTGATGTGGCTCACAAAGCCAAACCGAGGAGAATGCAGGTTGCAGCAGGCCACTCATTATACAACATGTGAATGCAAATGACTTGTCTTTTCATGTAGACCACAGATAAACAAACACTACACTCTCTTCTGCCTGTTGGAGATGACTTTTCTCACGGTGGACAGAGAGAGGAGAGCAACAATGATTCCCCAAGGCAGTCCCTGATGGTGACAGCTGCAGATTTTGGAACGTGCCCTGCCTTCACGGGATAGCATCCCTCTCTCTGCTATTCTCTAACTGTATTGGTAAAACCATACTGTATCCAGGTAGTCCTCAACTTACAACAGTTTGTTTAGCGACTGTTCAAAGTTACAATGTTTGTTTTGACTCCTTCTCAAAGGAATCTTTGGAAATCATTTTGGCACTGTAAAAAATACACATTTTGATAATACTAACCCCCAGCAGTAATATTTTCTTTCTTGGTAGAAGGGTTTAGTTGGGATTGCAGAGATGTCGGTAACACTGTCAAACTGTAGATATAGTTAATGATAGACAGTAGTGTGTTTACTGGAGGAAGGTAGAAAACTAATTCACATTAATTTAGGATGAATGCAGCTCAAAAAAGTCTTATTTTTGTATATTCTCCATCCTCTTCCTTCTTGGCAATGGTTTTGGTTCCCACTCACTAAGCCTCCTATCTTCCTTTCTTTTTCTACCCCATTCAAAGGATCCATGAGTGCCAGGGGGCGGGGAACAAAAAGCCCAGAAGGCAGCTGTGACCTCATGGTTTTCTATGGCAGCCTCTGCCCTCTGAAACCTTCTTTTTCCTGAGGTTTGGCAGGCCTCCACTCTCTTACCCTCCCATAAAGTTTTGCCTGTAAGGCAGTGTTTCTCAACCTTGACAATTTTAAGGCATGTGGACTTCAACTCCCAGAATTCCACAGCCAGCAATGCTGGCTGTGGAATTCTGGGAGTTGAAGTCCACATGCCTTAAAATTGTCAAGGTTGAGAAACACTGCTGTAAGGGCTGGGAGAAGCTTGAATAATTGCACATTAGAAGTTCGACCTGGCACCAAGTCTTTGTTGTTTTTAATGGTTTTTATGCTTTAATATGTTTAGTTTTATACAGTGCTTTTTTTGTAAAAAAAAAAAAAAAAAAAAAGGTGCCAGAACTCACACATGTTATACATCCCGCCTTTCCTACCCTACAAGGTTCCATCCAAAAAAGGTGCCAGAACTCCGTTCTGGGCGTTCTATGACCAAAAAAAGCCCTGGTTTTATAATTTCAATATGATTTAATATGTTGTTTTAACTTTTGATTGGGGGCACCCAGAATTTGTTGCAAGATGAGTGGCTATATAAATGTTTTGAGTGAATGAATGAATGAATGAACAAATGAATGATCAATGCTCCACCTCTCTGCAACACATGTAAAAAATAAGTAGGGCTTAAATTGTGTAGCTTTCATCTTGAACTTTTTGGCCCCCTCCCCCCTCCCGGGTCTCCGCAGTCATCCCGATCTCATTCAAGGGCAAGTCCCCAAGTCACCTCTTCAGTTATCAGTAGTAAAACAAATAAACAAATAAACCATGTCCTTAAATGAGTCAGAAGCAGCAACAATTATTTAAAAAAAAAACAACTGAAAATTTGAATTAATTAATCAATCTCTTTCAAGTATAGCCTTGTTTATTATTAGCACATCACTAAATCAAAGCAAAAACTTCCAATTATTATAGTTCTGAGCAAATAGTATAACAAATTTATTTCAGTGATCATAGCTAAAGAATAGTTGCTGTATTTACCGTCACGTAATTTCAGATACTGTTCTCTTGTTTCCAAAAATACTTCTTCAAACTGGAAAAAAAGGGAAAAAACTGCTTTAACTTTGTATCACAGGGGACACAATTTTGAAAACTCGGCTTAAAATACCTTTGGGGGCTTCATAATCCCCCAAACGAGAAAAGTTGGTTCAATGGGGGGAAAGTTAACTCTTTCATTTCATCTCTTAACTCCTTCCAAACCTCGACTCCTTTGACCCAAATCAGGGGAAAGATTTGGCCTCTGCCTACCCTTGAATAGGGCTGCCAGATGTAAGCTGCAAAACTAACAATGACCACTGGATGGCAGCCAAAGGATAGAGGAAACGTTTTGCTCCCACCTAGATTCAGCCACACCTTTGTGATCTAGATTTGGTACTTGCTATAACAGTGGTTCTCAACCTGTGGGTCGGGACCCCATTGGGGTTGAACGACCATTTCACGGGGGTCGCCAAACAATGCAGTCCACCATTTTTTCCCCCTTTTCCTTAGCTGTGCTACTCCCTTTTATTCTATTGGCTTTTGAAAGCCAATAGAATAGACTCTCTTGAATAGAGTCTAATTCTATTGGCTTTCAAAAGCCAATAGGAATTGTCCAGGCTGTCTCTGCCCTGCTGAGTCCGCCAAAAGTCCCATTCTGCAAATGGTGCTGCACCAGTTGAGTAGTCCTCGACTTACGACTGGTTGAGTAGTCCTCGACTTACGACCGGTTGGGGGTCGTGGCATTAAAAAGGTTGAGAACCACTGTGCTATAAGAACAAAAGGAAAAAAAGAACGTGTGTGTGTGTGTGTATATGTGTGTGTGTGTGTGTGTGTGTGTGTGTGTGCTGGCAGGATACTTGAGTCTTTTACCCAGAATGATCCCATGTGAGTGGTCAATTGAGAAAACTTTAGATCAAATCTCAAGGCAAAAAAAGGCCCCAATTTCATCTTGCTTCACTCTGGAGGGAAGAGATAATGGCGTTGAAGGGTGGGGAAAGAGCTGCTACCAGGGCAACGGTTAGATAAGCAGGGTTTGAGCCTGTTCCAAAAAACCAATCTGAGTTAATGTCTGAGTTCTTGCCCCACTTCACACAAAGATGAAGTGAGGAAGAGGAAGCATATTCAGAATTGCAAGTTTCAATTACTATAGCTATTTGTGATGGGATGTACTCTGGATTCCTAGGAGGGAGGAGGTGCATTCCAGAGGAACAAGTAACAATTCAGTTCAGATGGTTTGTGTGAGGGAAAGAGGGCTTTCCCACAATAGTTCCAGAGTATATGGGGGGGGGAGTGTTGCCATGCTTTAGTTTGGCAAGAATCTGTCTATGGGTAAGGAAGAATAAAAAAATCTGCTTAGAAAAATCACAACATGTCTTTCTTGGATTTTGAATCCTGATACTCTAAGAATGAAAGTAGTCCTGATCTATATGGCTTTGGTTTCTTAGTCTGGCCTACCTTATAGGGCTGACAAAAATAGAAGAAACAAACCTCAACTCCAGCTGCTGCTAAGAGCCAGCGTACTGATTCCATTCGTCCTCTGCCATTGAAATAGGTCAGTTTGGGTTTCCCAGACATATTTTGCAAGTTTTGGATTTCCTGATAAATTGCAAGATAAAATATAAATGCATTTAATATAATCAGTTACTAAATTTATTTCTAATAAAATGTATACAATGTATAATGTATAAAATGAAGTCATAAATCTCGTGAGAGTTCAGCTGCAGAGATAGATAGCATGTTAAAATATGGGTGTGGTCTGTTTATAGATTGACAAAGCAACTTGTTTAAGGTATGTGTGAGAAAGGTGTCTATTCTTCACAATGGGAAGAATACATTCTCCATGGAGATGGAAATCTCACAAGTAAATGCAGACTGCAAGGGAGTTAGTTTGTTTAATGCGCCTGGGAAAGAGTTTGATAACATTTCTGATTGAAAGGGTTTCACAGAACATAGAATCACTGAGATGGAAGGGATCTTGGGGGTCTTCTAATCCAACCCCTTGCTCAAGCAGGAGACCCTATACTATTTCAGACAAATGGCTGACCAGTCTTTTTGAAAGCTTCCAGCGATGGAGCACCCACGACTTCTGAAGGCAAGCTATTCCATTGGTTGATTGCTCTCACCATTAGGAAATTTCTCCTTAGTTCTACGTTGCTTCTCTCCTTGGTTAGTTTCCATCCATTGTTTCTCGTCTTGCCTTATGGTGCTTTGGGAAATAGTTTGACACCCCCCCCTCGTCTTTGTAGGAGCCCCTCAAATATTGGAACAGTGCTATCATGTTTCAGAGATGACAATGACAATGAGGAAAATTTGGGAAAGGAAAGGTTTTATGCCTGGCAGTGGGGCACAAATCTTATTTCTGTTCTTCAGTGTATAAATCTCAGAAAATGTACTGTGCAATTGTTGTTTTGGAAAAAATATAGATAAAGTGAATAGTCTTGAATTACGCAATACTTTACATAAATATGGAGCTGAATATGGGTTACTGGATGTGGTAAAAGCAGTGGTTTTTTTTCTTAAAAAAAAAAAAGGTGCCGGAACTCAGACACGTCATACAACCCGCCTTGCCTACCCCTACAAGGTTCCATCCAAAACAGGTGCTGGAACTCCGTTCTGGGCGTTCTATGGGGAAAAAAGCCCTGGGTAAAAGTGATATAGAATGGAAGCAAGGCATGCATGAGAATAAAGGGAATTCTTAGCAAATGATGCAACTTTAAACTGGGAGTAAGACAAGGTTATGCTTTGATCCTTCGGTCGTTTGATGTATTTTTTTTAATATATTTTATTATTTTTTTAACATAGTCACCTTAATATTTGGTAAACATTGTGTTGTCTGGGTTTATATTTAAAAACAATCAATAACAATTAATTTCTGTAATTCCATAATCCACATAGTAGTTTTCCTTGATTTTCTCTTCTTCCAATGATGTTCTCTTTTGCCAACCTTAAATTAGTACTTAGTCTTTTGATAGATAAAAATTAAATATAAACATTTTTCTAATATTTCTACAAGTAACCACAACATTATTATAAAGCTTCTTTTCTAATTAATCATCTTAATTACCTCACCATAAACCCTGTTTTCAAAGTTCATATTTAGATTTGTTTTCACCTCAGTGTTCAATATATTCTTATCATTAAGATTTTCTCAAAGTTAATTACACTTAAGTATTTAAGTCTTTTTCCTCATACAAGCCATCCCATCAAAAGAACAAAAAGAAAGAAGAAAAGAGTAGAAAAAGAAAAAGAAAAAAAAGAAAAAAAAGAAATACTATACTACTTAAAAAACATACTCCTCTTAAGCTAAAATACATTTATATCCAGAATTTTTCTATTCTTTTTAGCCATATTCATACCAATGTTTAATCTTTAAATATTCTATCTAATAAATCCAATCATCTAATATTTTGAATCTATTCAAAACATTCTTATCAACTGGTAGCTAAAAATCCATTATATTTAAATATCTAAGACATTTCCCTCATATAAACCATCCCCACATTTTTATATTTCTCATACTATGTTACTTGAGGGGCCCCTCCCCTCCAGAATTTTTCTATTTCTTTAACCATATTCAAACAAGTGTTTAGTCTTTAGATATTCCATCTGATACATCCCATCATCTAATTTCTTGATACTAATGGAAGGGTTAAATGGCTGTACTATGTGTAAGCTCAGAATGTGCTCTCCTGTATTTGCTGCTGTTTTTATTAGTTTTGATTATTTTAATAGCATTTTAAGGCTTTTGTTTATTTATTTATTTATTTATGAGACTTATATACCGCTTTAAGTGCAAGCACTCTCTAAGCGGTGTACACCAGTAAGCAATGAATATATATTTACATTGCCCCCAACAATCTGGGTCCTCATTTTACCTACCCCGGAAGGATGGAAGGCTGAGTCCACCTTGAGCCGGTGAGACTTGAACCGCTGACCTGCTGAACACAGTCAACTAAAGTGGCCTGCAGTACTGCACTCTAACTGCTGCGCCACCTCGGCTCTTATATTATATTATATTATATATTATTATATTGATTGTTTGGGAGTGTCTGTTTTTTGTTGTTCTTTTTGAGCTGTCTTGAGTCACAATCTATGTTAGGAACGGAGGCTGGATGAATATTGAAAATGGACACTAGAGGGAACCAAAGGCAGAATAGAATTAAAAACTGGCTATAACCTTTTTCTTATTTTAAATAGGTTGTTTTTTTTTAAATTGAACTGAAATGTTAATTAACTAAAATTTCAGAAAGCATACAGATTTCAGTGGATACATTTTAAAGACCCCTCTTAAATGCCAACCATTCATAAAAGATCAAATACTGAGATGCCATTGGAATGATTTAAAGGTCAATATTCTTCGATGTTTCTAAGATTAAGAAAAGCAAAGAAGGAATATAAAGTTGCAGAATTGGATCAGGAATAAATTTAATACTTCTAGCCATTCCTAATGGAGTTTTTGCTGAAACAGGATTGAAAATAGATCAATTTCTAGACCTAAATAAAAGTTAGACTATGGGGATAAAAGCATTTTTATTTTTAACTTTAAAAGAGGGTGAAAGGTTATATTAGCTTATGTTCAGTGTGATGAAGGTAGGAAGTTACTTATTTCTTACTGTCTTTGTTGTTTCTTTATTTCTCTATTTTTATTTTATTTTTTGATTGTTTTTCTTTTTTCTAGAGCTTCTGAACTTTTTCTTTCCAGTTTAGTTTGCATTAATTTTTTACTATGGAGATAAAAAATTTCAGTTAAAGTATTAAAAGAGAAAAGGAACAAACACTGAATTTGAAAAGGCATTGCTAGATGGACTGCTTTCACTCCATCCTAAAATATTTTCAAGTATCTTATTCCACGGACAATTTTCTTCTGTATAATAGAAACTCGCCTTAATGAAGTTTTTTTTCTCTCTCTCTACAAAAATACTGCACTGCACAGTATTTCTTTTCACTTCTACTCCAGCTGGGAGAAAATCCTGTTGTGCTGCAGTTCAAAACAAAGAAGACAGTTTTAACCCCCACCTTCATGCCTAATCTTTCTGCAGCAAAAGGTGCTCTGCCTACAGCTAACGCCACTTCAGCCCCTCTTTATTTATTTTTCCTTCCTTTTCGTTCCTCCATTGTCTTTCATCATATCTAATCTACCGCTTGAACAGCTTATTCTGTAATTTCTCTTTCTCCCATTAAAGATCTGCAAATAGGAAGCAAATAAGCTAAAGTATTTCTATACTGCCTTTAGACAATTAACCCTTCCCTTCCAACATTCTGCCCCACAGAATATCTGAAAAGTTGTAAAGGTAATTCCATATCAAAATGTCAAAACCAACCTGCAAAGCCTGGTCTTATTTGTACCTCCACCAAAAAATCATACGAAGAAAAGAAGCTCTGTCTACTTATAATCTGCTTCCCCTGTTAGAAAAAGGCGTTCCCACTGAATTGCCTGTTTAAATTTATCATAACATAGATTGAACCTGGGAGCAAAATACTTTGGATTAGGCCCAATTACAAAATGAACGGACTGACTCCTTCACTGTGATCACTGCCTAGAATTGTCTACTGTTATTGATGCTACAGGATTACACTGTTCGGGTAAAACAGTATTTAAAATCTCTAAATAAACTAGAAGAAATAAAATGGAGCAATCTAAATACACTGTAAACACAACTACTAGAATATTATTTTAAAAAAATCTTTTTTAAACTATCCCATCTAATTATAAAACTATTTTGTAAATAGAATATTAAATTGCCAAATTATTAAATGCATTCCCTTGGGGTTTATGGCAATGATAAAACACTTCTGGAAGACTTTAACTATAGTTAGGGCTAAACCAGTGGTGGGATTCAAATATGTGAACAACTGGTTCTCTGTGTGGATGCTGCTTCCGGAAGTCCGTACTGGGCCTGAGCAACAAAATATTAGCTACCAGTTCTGCCGAAGTGGTGCAAACTAGCTGAATCCCACCACTGGGATAAACACAGAGAGGGTGTCGAATAAGTCAAGATGGCAGCTAAACAAATAACTCCAGGCAGCTAATAACACGATGGGGGATTACATTCTTTTGCAGCTTTTTGCCTCTATCAGAGCTGGGTCACACAAAATGTAATATACAAGCCCTTGCCGATATACAGGCAGTCCTCAGCTTTCAACAGGTCATTTAGTGAATGTTCGAAGTTACAGCGGCACTGGAAAAAGTGATTTATGACCATTTTTCACACTTAGGACCATTGTAGCATCCCCATGGTCACATGATCAAAATTTGGATGATTGGCAACCGACTCGTATTTCTAACAGTTGCATTGTCCCCTGGTCATGTGATCCTCTTTTGCGAACTTCCGACAAGCAAAGTCAACAAAGAAGCCAGATTCTCTTAACAACCCTGTTACTAACTTAACAACTGCAGTGATTCACCCTGGAGCAGGCAACCCTCTTTGCATCCAATAGCCCCTCAAAGTTTTGAAATAATTAGTTAAAAACAGATTTGTATCACAGATGTTAAACACAATTACATTAATTTTGCAATGGAATTTGGTTTGGGAAACACTCATTTTTAAGCTAGTAATGAATGTTAACCAATGCCTCTTAGACTTATCAGATTTAAGATCAAGACTAATTTGCTCTCTGAGCAGACCTGATCTTTGTTTTAAGAGTCAAATTGGGATAAATCCTTTTCAAAGCAATGATGGATAACCCATGGCCCTTCACAGATGAAGCACAGCTCCCATTCAATTCTAATTGCTATTTATGTCAACTGGGCTGATGAGTTTTGGAATCAAATAACTTTATACACACTCACACCCACACTTATCTATAGAAAGCAGATTCTAGTTGAAGGTCCAGAAAAACTTTCTAAAAATAAGAGCTGTTCAACACCAAAATCACTTCCCCTTTGCTAAGTATGTTCATGCAGAGATCACACAGCCATTTATCAACAAAGCTTGAACTCCAGAATCCACTGGAAGTGGGTGGCGGATAACTTTAAGCAAACAATTTGAGTTCTAGTATTGAGCATAAGGGCTCCTTCCAGTCCTATGATTCTATGCCTGTAAAGAAGATACATGAATGAATGAATCAGAGGTCCCCAACCTATGGGCCATGGCCCACTACCAGGCTGTGGCGTCTCGGCCACCAGGCCTATGAATGGGTGGACAGTGTGAGCACCTGTGCACGTGCTCAACCCCCTTCCACTGGCGCTAGCATCACTGTGAGCCTCTCGCTGGCACTAGCAGGCCCATTTGCAATACGCACATACACGCAGACCCGTTTGCACACATGCATGCGCTGCCACATTTTTCGTGTGTGTGCATGCGCGCATAAAGGTGCCTGCCCCTCCCTCTCCCATCGGACTGCCGATCCAGAAAGGTTGGGGACTCCTGGACTGAATGAGAAAGAAAAAACTTCTTTATGTCAAATTGTTTGAATGCAAAAATTTAATGCACTTTAAGAATTTGCACCAAAGAGTAAGCCATTTATTGTTTTTGGTCCCAGCAGATAATCTTTTGCTTTTAGGAAACAAAAAGAGGATTCTCAATTATCCCCCAGATGAGGGGTAGGCAAGTTCCTTGCATTTAGCACATCTGGCAGCACTGTGCCATGATAAACAACGGTGGGGAGTGCTCTGTGGCAAAACATCATTGCATATAAACCAGGGTGGAAGATCTATCAACATCTGAGGTTAAGTAATAAAAGGAGTCCTTTGGGACAGCTTGTAAATGTTGGGGTGGGTTCCTTGTTGCCTCATGGAAATTTTCTTGATTATCTGATGTTCTGGCAAGCAGACATGATGTTACGACAACTTCAGCTGAAGAACCTCCAGCACAACAGCTACATAAGCATCATCGGCGACTGGTTTTCTTTGGCTTCCAGGTTCTAGGAATTTCTTAATGGTGGGAATGGAGCTTATCCTTGCTTTGAAAGCCTAAAGCAATAAACAAACAATATTTACCCTGTTGAAGGTATAAACCACACATTCTCTAGCCAAGACAGCTCACAGAGGTTGACAATACAAATCGAAAGCATTGATAAAATCCAGCCGCCATAAAACACAGTAAAACGTCAGTACACAATAGAAATCTGTAAATAAAATAATTTCCAAAAACATGTACAAATATAAATATATCAAAGATATACCTCTGTTTACACCAGCGGTTCTCAACCTTTTTAATGCCGCGACCCCAACCGGTCGTAAGTCGAGGACTACTCAACTGGTCGTTAAGTCGAGGACTACTCAACTAGTGCAGCACTGTTTGCAGAATGGGACTTTTGGCGGGCTCAGCAGGGCAGAGACAGCCTGGACAATTCCTATTGGCTTTTGAAAGCCAATAGAATTAGACTCTATTCAAGAGAGTCTATTCTATTGGCTTTCAAAAGCCAATAGAATAAAAGGGAGTAGCACAGCTAAGGAAAAGGGGGAAAAAATGGCGGACTGCGTTGTTTGGCGACCCCCATGAAATGGTCGTTCGACCCCAAATGGAGTCCCGACCAACAGGTTGAGAACCACTGGTTTACACCAATGAAATGCAGATTCCTGGGAGAAGAAAGCTTGAACTTTTTCTTTGAACAAAGTAGGGAAGGAGCATACAGGTAGTCCTTGACTTATAATAGTTCATTTAGTGACCATTCGAATTTACAGCAGCACTGAAAAAAGTGACTTATGACTGTTTTTCACACTTACGACCATTGCAGCATCCTCGAGGTCATGTGCTGAAACTTTGGACACTTGGCATCTGGCATGTATTTATGACGGTTCCAGTGTCCCGGGGTCATGGGATCAACTTTTGCAACCTTCTGACAAGCAAAGTCAATGGAAAAGCCAGATTCATTTAACAACCGCACTACTAACTTAACAACTGCAATGATTCATTTAACAATTGTGGGAAGAAAGGTTGTAAAATGGGGCAAAATGTACTTAACAATTGCCTTGCTTAGCAACAGAAATTTTAGGCTCAATTGTGGTTATAAGTCGAGGACTACCTGTACAGCTGATGCCACCAGAGAGAATTGCCCCAAGCGATTCCAACCTAGCTTCCTTCCGGCATCTGTAACAACCCATTTAAATACAATTGGAGTTTTCTGTTGATGACATTTGGAGGAAACTACTTCTCTAGATAAGCAGTTTCCAAGGTTTCAGAGATTTATAGACTAAAGAAACCAATTTATGTGTAATCCAAACATCTACACATAACCATGGCAACTTGGCCAAGCAGTGTCACATGATCTCATATGGAAGCATCTGACAGAAGCGTGGCCATCACATTCTGGAGTAATTTTCAGGGTTCTTTCAAGGGCTTCCTCACTTAAAATGTTACAATGGTCAGATCATGAGTAATAGTGATCAGGTTGGATAAATCAGTAATTGATAGATCAGTTGTTCATCAATGGTTCCTTGCCACCGTATTGATCTATGAATTCAACCCTGTGAATCCATTGGTGGGTATGAACAATTTTAGAAAAAAATCATAAATCCTTCAGTCAGACACAGATATTTCCAGAGTCTTCTGGCAGAGGATCTTGAACCACCCAGAAAATTCCCTCCTAAGCGAAAAATGGAGGCAAGAAAAAACCCCATTGCTGGACTTCAGTTCCTATGATCTCCCACTTGTGACTTAAGTGGCAGCATAAGTCAGAACTAACATGTTCATTTATATTATACAAGTAAAAGCTGGCATGATAATCACTACTAGATTACCTGTAGTTGAGGGAATGGCGCAAGAATATCAGCCTTTATCTCTTCCAACATTAAAATTGCTTCAAGTAATTGTATATCTGCAAAGCTGAGGCAATTACCAACTAGGAACTCTTGCTTATGATGTTCCAGAGCCTATAAAATATAAAAACCTTAAAGCTGAACCAAAAGGTACATTAATGGAACTGTGTCAAAAGTTTTTAATCATTAATTTACTCTCTTCAGAAGAAATATGACTTATAATCTACTAGAAGCATCCTATGGTTGTTCAATAGGGACCAAAGAAAATAGTTTCTCTGTACAATAAAACATGCATATACACATATCAAATGCTAAAAATGGAAGAATGATTGGAAATAAAGAAGAAGAAAGAAGACTACTTGAATATATTTCCACACTTATTTAAATTCTGGGGCAGAAATCAAAATCAGTTACAAAAGCAATTAAGGCATGGGTATTATAAAAAATGAAGAGGAAATATAGCAATTATAAACAGTTCATATAAGGGTGATAATCAGAAACAGTCTTGTATTTCCCAAAGTTTAACCAGTGGTTTTGCTCCACCCTGCTTTTCAATGGTTCTTTTTAAATATAATTTTCATTAAGAATTTTGATTACAATAGTAAAAATTAATACAAAGTAAACAAGAAAAAGAGAAGAGAAAAAAAAATAAAAAGTGCAAAAAAAGAAAAATATATAATAAATAATAAGAAAAGAAATATATAAAGAAGTGATGAACAACTTTCATCCCATGTATAGACACATTTAGTTACTCTTCATCCCCTATAAGGTTAAAAACAGATACTTCTTCATCACATATCTCATCTCTTATCTATAAGTAAATCCATAAAACGTCAACTTTTCAATCCTGTTGTCAGCAAAAAATCTCTCATAACTTTAAGATAGTTAATAGGCAATTTCCAAGAGTGATTTAAAAGTGAGGCTTGCAAACTTAGTATCCTTTAAAACAGTGCTTCTCAACGTTTGTGTGACGGCGACCCCCGTCACACAAACGTGCCGCGCATGTGCGGCGGCGCCCCCATGCGCGGTGGCGCCCCCCTGCGCAGCGCTGCCCCCCTGCGCGGCGCAGATGCGCGGTGCCGCCCCCATGCGCGCGGCGCCCCCCCGAGGGGGAAAAATGGCGGATCGCCTTGTTTGGCGACCCCCGAGAAATGGTCGATCGACCCCAAATGGGGTCGCGACCCATAGGTTGAGAACCGCTGCTTTAAAAGGCTCCACTGTGGCTGATCTCATCATCTCCCAATGCTAAAACCCACGGAAAATTGCTGACCTACAGTCGCCTCACCGTCTGGAGGATATGTGGGCCATTTCCCATCCTCTCCTTATCTGAAGAGGTTCTGAGGAACTGGTCTACTCACCGGTTCCTTGACCTTTGTCATGTGGTTGGCTCCATTTTCACAGAGTTCACCATACCTCCCCCAAAGATCACTTTCCAGTGGTTCATATTCATACATGTAATTTAAAAACACAATTTATTCAAACCAGGAAGCTGAGAGGCCACTGGACAATAGCAATAGAAGGAGGAAATGGAAATTCCTGAGAAATCAGATGAATTCTTTGCTTCTATTTTAACTTCTGAGGTAATAGGGAATATTTGGACCTCAGCTGGAATTTTTGTTTGGGTGGGAGGGAGAAAAAAATTGTTCTTGGGCAAGCAGAGGTAACTTGTGATTAAAGTATAAGCTTGATTGCCAAATTAAAAATAAATAATTCTCTGGAAAGAAGATTTTTAAAAAGCTAAAATCTGCAACAGCTGATAATCTGACAAAGATACAAATTGATTTTTAAATTAAGCATCTATTCTCCAAGTTCAGAAGACAGATAATATAATATAGCTAAGCAAAATAGCCCAAAGCTTGAACGCATTAACAAACATTATTTTATATATACCCTGTTTCTTACATTCTTCCGGTTCAAGGAGAAATCCAAGAAACTATAGGTCAGTTAATTTAACAAGTAAAATGGTAGAAAATTTTCCTTACTCAAGCAATACTCTGAGGTCAGAAGTCTGTCCCATAAATTAGATAATTACTTGGTGGCTAAATCCATTTCTCAAATTACTTAATACAGTAGCTGAATGGTAAAAGCCCCAACCAGTTTTCATCAGTTAATGTACTGTTTTCAAGCAGTGTTTGAAAAAACAAGCAACTAATCCCAGTCTATTTGGCCATTCTTGGCTAATTTTCCAGTCCTGAAGTGCATTGTTGTGCAGACCAAAATATTTGGAGTATATCATAGGTTGCCACAGGAACTGTTTCGGATGGTGACAAGACAGGATAATAGCGAGCAATGATTGGAGTGTTTTGTCCAGTTATGGCATCAGGAGAAAACATCATCCTGTCATACTTTAGGCTGGGTTCACACAATACATGGTTGAACAAGCCATTTGGCTGCTTCAAATAACAGGTAAAGCTAAACCTAAGCAAAATACGTAACTGCCTGGGATACTGTGGGAACATAGCTTATATTTCAAAGGCAGAAAGACAAAAACAGTCTGGTATTTTAAAGAAAAATGTCTAAAAATCTGCCTTCCATGTATGCATGAATGCTCTGAAGCCAATGCCATTTGTCCAAATGAAGGGATAACTGCTAGAAATGTCATGGGTGGCCTACCTTTTCATAGACTGGGAGGTACCTGGTCACTGCCTTTTCATTAATGGTAGCAAGTTGTTTCTCTTTTTGCTCAGGTGAACAAAAAGGGTAGATCAAAATAAGTGCCATTAGGTCTATGGTCCCTTCCACGTACATGTCAATTCTGTGAAGACAGGAGAAATGTTACATCACACTTCAATAAGCATTAAATTTAACTTAGCTTACTATTGTTTGCATACTTGTCAGACCCTGGAACTCTCAAATATCTAATGGGAAGATTTGTGTCACAATATCATCAGGCATGTTGTTGATCTGATGTCATCTTGGCTTGCTGCTAAACTTAACTTGGCTGTAGCAGCTGATCCCCAGCTTCAATAGCCATATATGGAATGCCTATTCTCCTGAAATGGGTCGATGTCTGGGGCCATTTTTTGGCACTACAGTTGCCAAATGCTCTATTTGATAGCTTTCTTAAATATTCCATAGCTCTTTTTCTCTTCTGAGACTAGAAAAACAGAAACATTGTCCTCTTACCAAAGCTAATTCAGGGAGGGCAAGATGGCAGGCTGTGCACTGAGTGAAAACTTAATCTTTGTGAGCATGGATTCAAATGTGCACTAAATCAGACTTTTTCTTTTGCCCTCGCTTACATATTTCACTGTTGAAGAGCTTAGAGATGAAGGACAACTCCACTGGCAATAGGGACTGTAAAAATTTCTCAAGACAATTGACCAAGAAAAGCAATTGTACCAAGAACAAGGTATATCAAATAGAACCAATCTCTGCAAAGGCCCAATTCCTTCAAAAGATGTTGGACTAAACTTGGTGATGCTGGCTTGGAATGATGAGAACTATAACCAATTTACCTGGAAACTGGAGATAGCTAGCTCCATTGGCCTGTATACATATTTGCTTCCCTGATTCTTGTCTAGTCCAATGGAATTACACAAAAACCATGAACTACTGTATGGCTGTTAGATAAAAGAGGGAAGAGATGGTTAGCACAAAAATTTTGCACAAGTTGTGTGCTCCCAGCATTTTAAAACTGCAGAATGGGGTCTTATGGGGAGAGATGGCCAACTGAAGACAACTTCACAGGCAGAGATGGCAACTGCACTTTTGTACAAAGAATCCAAAGCAGATTGGCAATTATACTGACTCAAATTCAAAAGTGTTATATTTCAAATCCAGTCAGATAGTTAACTCAAAAGAAACGATCTTATAACAAACAAATATATTTTAATGAGAAAGATTACTTGCGTTCATGTTGAGATTGGTGCTGCTGGAAATACGTGTTTGTTCATCTTTCAGATCTTTTCCTTAGGTAAGAAGATTTTGCTCTTTACACCATCTTTATGTTTATAGGGAGACCTTCTATGGTCCATGCTTCTTACAGACAAAGAGATTCCCATGTGGCTTGTGTCCAGGAAGTCTCCCAAAGACCTTTGGAACTCCTCCCACTGACCCATCCACATACCTAGCATTTAACCCAATAACTGCCAGACCTTCCAACATAGAGCTGGGTCATAGAGCTATATGGGTCATAGAGCTCTATGGGCCAGAACACTCCCCGCTTGGAAATTTATATTTCCACTATTAAAATAGTAAAAACGTAGCATCAAGGCATGCAATACTCATTGTGGTTAACGTGACTAACTAGGTAAAAACTTGGTATCAAACATGCATAACTATAAGGTAAACATAAAACATGCACAATTATGAAAAAGGCAAGTGTTACATCAAACAATGCGTAAGACAATACATAATTTGAGGTTTAATCTTCTGGTTCAGTCTTCATCGGCGATGGACCAGTTCGGTGATCAGCCTGGTACAAGTGTCTTTGAGTCACGACCAGACTCACATGGCTTCACGATCTGGATCTCAGCTGGGTAAACCAGTTCATCAAGTGGGTGGGCCCGGTGCGCAGTCTTGTCTCCCAATGAGACAAGGCCTTCTTCCTGTGCAGGAAACTGGAACCAAATCTGGAACAGAAAAAACTGGAACCCAAGCTTCTCGGGAATGAGGGGAACTGGATTCACAGGATACTCAGGAACTGAAAAACCTGGAAAGACATAAACAGCTGGATCTGGAAACTCAGGAACAGCTGGGGCTGAAGAATCAAGATCAGGAACATCAGGAAACTCAGGAACAGCTGGAGCTGGAAACTCAGGATTAGGAACATCTGGAAACTCAGGAACAGCCGGAGCTGAAGAATCAGGAGCAACAGCTGGAACTGAAGGGTCAGGAACAGCAGCTGGAAGTGAAGAATCAGGAACAACAGCTTGAGCAGAAGACACAGGATACTCAAGAACCGAAGGGTCTGGAGCCACCGGTGGAGTACTGAAGAGGGCTGCTACTGTTGTCGTCAGGGTGAGGACTTCATGTGTGGGTGTCAGTGTATTTAGTGACATGGAGTCCATGAAAGGCAGTAAGTCTTTGCAGGTTTCTACAAGGCTAATTCTTGGGGTGCTGAGACAAGTGATCAAGATGATCAAAACTATGCCTAACTTCAGTTGTCTGCGCTTAGACAGGGTTTTGAAGCGGATTGGTTGACGTTTACCGGGTGTCTGAGGTTGAAGGTTGGCACTTTGATCTGAAGCTGAAAGTGCATAACGTTTTGGTCTATGTGGCATCTGTCTATTTGGACAGGCCAAGAGCTGAAGACTTTCTAGCCAGATCAGTTCTGTTATCTGTGTGGCAAGGTTGGGCCACTTTACTTGATTAACAAAGTTCTTATTTGTTGGCACATGTTGCCATTGTTCAGGGCTTAAGGATGTTTCAATCCTTTTCTCTCTGTTGTTTACATGGATGTAGAAGTGTCCACTTTGTTTGCAGATGTAGCTTGACATCACCTTGCTGTCTGCGTAGAAGGTGGTGGACTGTAGTTCAAGGCACAACGTCTTTGCTGTCAAGTTGGTCAGCTTTACAGCCAAAGTGGTGCCATATAGCTGTAACCTTGGTACGGTGTGGCCTTCTTGTGTTGTTAGTCTTGCTTTTCCAAAGAAGACACCAAGACTGCAGCACTCCCCGCTGTAGACTCTGGTGCATCTTATGGTTGCAAACAAGATAACGTAAGTGTGGCTCTCCCCGCTGTAGAGTGAGACATATCTTAAGGCTGCAGACACCTTCGTAGGCACATCTAAGGAAGCGTACAACTCTTTCTTCTGCACTGGGGCAGGTGAGCTGGAGACATACATGCGCTGCACTTGCATGCTTTGGAGACATTTTGGGAGTATGCTCCATGACTCCCAGTCTTGGGGGCGTTGTTTGTCTTGTTTGTCCTTTATGGACAAAGCTAAATTGTAGTAAGTCTTGCTTGTCTGGAACACGGTTGCTTCCAAAACAGGTTTGGTTGTTACAAGCGTGCGATGCTCTAGGTGCAGTTGGAACACTGTTGCTACCAAAACAGGTTTGGTTGTCACAAGCATGCAGTGTTGTTCTAGGCGCGGTTGAAACACTGTTGCTACCAAAACAGGTTTGGTTGTCACAAGCGTGCAGTGTTGTTCTAGGCGCGGTTGGAACACTGTTGCTACCAAAACAGGTTTGGTTGTCACAAGCATGCAGTGTTGTAGGTGTGGTTTTATGGGGTTCAATGGGGTAATAACGGTGGAAAGATCTTGTGGCACTCCCCGCTGTGCAGTTGTTGCCATCAGGTTCGATGTGGCAGCAACGGCAGGAGGATCTCGTGACCTAGGTGTCGTGTCATCAACTCTGTGGTTGACCAGCGAATCAGGTTGTTGAGATTCCTCTGTTTGTCTACTCGGTCTTGGGGGGCTTGTGGCTGGCTGAGGTGCTCTCATCTGTGTATTCTGGAGTGCGCTTTGGTTGTCCACATAGGCCTGTACATGGCTGTGAGAACTTTCCCTTCCTAGACTTTCCAAATTGGGCGTTGACATGGCATCTTCTAACTCTCTCTGCAGGATCGCTTCTATTGCGGCTGCCTCTTTTGCTCTCTGTTGTCGCTGGAAAATCTCAAAGTTGGCCTGAGCTTTGGCCAAGTCTTCTCTATGTAGCTTGTCGTCTACTGCTACTTGTGAAGCAACGTTAGCCCTTGCGGTATTGATCCGTGCTTCCCTGAGACGGGCGGCGATGCTCTCTGCTCCTGAGGCTTGAGATGTATGGCTCTGGCGAGAAGATGCCTTTGAATGGCGTGAGGGTCCTGTGACGTGCGGTTGTTGGGACATGCTGGAATGTGTCTTGGATATGTGGCGAAAAGATGAGGCTGTTTCAGACACGTGGGATGGATATGCGTGCGACCATTGGGATGGTGCATATGAGTAGCGGGAGACTTTGGACTCGGCTCTGTCGACCAGTCTGCATTTCTGGCGAGGCTTGGGCTGTGGAGAACCCTGTGAGCTCTCTAGAAACTTCTTGCGTTCCTTGTTTAGTGCCTTGAGGTTGTGCATCTTGCTATCGATTCTTGAGTCTCTTAATTGTTCTTGAATGTCCTTGAGTTGCTGTTCAGAGTCCATCCATTGCACATAGGCGTCTTCCTTATCTCCTTCCACTGCGTGTGCCCGTTCTGGGGAGAGTTTCTCCTTCTGTTCGTGGTAGAGTTTGTATAATCTCTCCCAGCTTCTTTCATGGCGCCTGTGGATGGTGTGCCATTTCTCCACCAGATGTGAATGCATGGCGTCTGTGGGCTGGTTGATGTGTCTCAACTAGGCTGATAGGTTGAACCCCTTCTGCTAGACCAGTAGGATGCTCAGCTATGGCTAGGATAGGTTCAGTGTCCTTCTCAGCTATTTTGAAGAGAATTTGAAGAACTTCTCTCTTTGACCACTAGGGGTCGCTACTTGTAGATCAGCTTCTGAGGTGCTGTCTGTGGGTGGAGATGCCACTGGGTGCGTTCTCCTGTGTTTGTGGGTACTTCAGTGCAGTTCACCCCTTCACCACTAAGGGTCACTTGCTGTGGGTCAGCTACCAGGGTGCTCTGGCTTCGAGGTTCACCCTTTGTCCACTAGAGGGGCTTCTCTGGGTGCGGTTAAAGGCTTGCGTGTAGAGCTTCCTTTAACCACTAGGGGGCGTCTGGAGAAAGGCTAGCCAAATTCTTCCTATTACCACGTTACTGCTAGTGAGCCACTGAGAGAATGTAGAGGTACAAACTCCCATCTGGTCATTTGCAGGCTGGAACTCCGGGTCATCAGCTGTGATAATGAGCGA